AGGAAACATATACTGATTCCAGAATGAACATTTTTCTTTATATCTCATGATTTATAATGTTGAATATCTGAATATGTTAAGTTTACTTCAAAAGACTGTTTCTTTATAGTGGAAGTATATTAATGAAGTATTTTTCAATTATCTGTATTTTTCAATTATACTGTAGATGTACAGTATATCCAAAAATAAAGCAACTTTTAAAAAGATTTGGATAGCCATTTGTCTGAAATGATATAGGGTTTTCTTGCTTCAGCTGGGTTGGACTAGAAGATCTCCAAGGTTCCTTCCAACTCTCTTATTCTTGTATAGTACTATGCTTCCTCTGGTCTTTACCAAAGCAACTTTTGCAATTCCTTCATGGATATGATTAACATCATGAGCAAATTCTGCTTTTTCTACACTGGGACTTTTCTTGATCATTTTCTTATTACAACCAGGATTGTCTCTAAGACACAGTTTCCCTAGCATTTTCAGATTACTGTTTGCATTTCTATGTGTTACACATTTAGCATTGTTATTATTTTATCCTTATAAGCCCCCAGAGCTACAAAAGTGAATGTCAAGCATTTTCAGTAGAAAGAAAGAAATTCTTCCTCTCTGTTTCATGTCACCTGTAGCTTTCTTGGTTATATAACTAGAGACAGTTACCATAGTTACTTCAGCATAATGCTTGTGTTAAGAGTAGATTCATGAAAAGCATTTATCCCGCTGTAGTGAGAAAGTATTGCATGCTGTGGATAGATTGCAGACCCTTCTTTGGCACCAATTTCGTTGTATTTAAGTACAATGACAATAAAGATTATACTTATACTTATTCTTATCCTTAAATCCTTATCTGTCCATTCCTAGCCATCTTTTTGCACATTGAGAGAAAAGTAAAAAGTGATCATATTGAGATTTTATCCATTTCTTTCTCTCTCTTTTTTTGGAAGTGGGTTGGTGAAAAAAACCCGAAGTTCTTAAATTAATGAATTTATGAAAGCCCTATTAATGTTCTTCCAAAATTGGAAGTAAACACTATGTGAATGTCCCTAATAAGCCCTCCCTTCTAATTAATACAACTTGTATCACAATGGGGGGGGGGGCAATTTCAATCTACATTACTTCACAATTGTACACAGGATTTGAACTGGAGCTCATCATAGGAATGTAACTTTCCTATGGTAAGCATGACGTATTCAGGACTCAGTGCAGGCAATGTTTTTTCTGACTTTTCAGCCTTACAGGTAATTAGATGTTTGTATCTGCACTTATTGGTGAAGTGTGTCTGTGTGAGTATAATTTATATGTCTCCTCCATTTTTCTTGCCATGTACATGTATACATCAGAGGTGGGTTGCTGCCAGTTCAGCCCAGATCGGCCGAACGTGTAATAGCGGCAGGAGGCTCCGCTCACCCGCCCGGATGCTTCTACGCATGCACAGAAGCTTATGCGCAAAAGAGTCATGTGCGCAAGCGTGCCCAAACCAGTAGTAAAAAAATTGGCAACCCAGCTCTGGTATACATCCGAACTAGCCTGTGTAGTTTCTCTGTGTCATAAAATGTATGTGGCTATATGCATATTTATTTATTTATTTATTTATTTATTTATTTATTTATTTATTTATTTATTTTGTCATGCTTATGTAGTGTATATTGGAGGTTGGAGGTGGTGACCCTTTCAGAGCTGTATGCAATGAAATTTCATTTTAATCTATGTCGATTAGTGTACATTCTAAGTGACAAAAAAGTTATTCTAAGTACACATCAGCAGTGAAATTTTCTCACAAAATAGTTTTATATAAGAGTTCTTAGCTTACATAAATAATGTGAACATTCTTGAGATAAAATTTGGTTTCATTCAGTTTGAGACACTGGCTAAAACATAGTTAGACTAACCATAACTGCCTTATTTTTAACAGTGATGCTACATGTGGCACAACTGTTACTAAGGTTAATAACCATAGTCTATATCTTGTCTAGCTTACTAAAACTGTTATGTTAAAACCTGACTAACTAAAGCTACAATGATTGGCGGAAGGTTTTACCAGTGAATCTATCTAGTGATTACCATGGCATGTGAAAGATTACAATTGGAACATAATTCCAATGAGTGATGAAAAACATGAATTAACAAATGAAATGAAAAAATGAAGATTGATATGTAATATGACTGTAAATGTAAAAAAGAAAGAGTAACAGAGATGAATGAAAGTAGCCTTAAAGTAGAGTCGATGGATGCATGCAGGGAAGTAAGGAATAGGTTTAATTCTGAATGAAAGTGCCGAGTGACCAGTGGTGGGATACGACCGGGGCATACCGGTGCCTGCTGGGAGCACCAGGTACTGTTCCGGTATGGTGCTCTGGAGGGTACACCCACCTGCCCGCTGTCATATTTGAGCCAATCGGGACATTCAGCACGCGCACGGAGTGTGCAGCACCTGTGCAATGCTCCACCGAGCAGCAGGAGCATCGCGGGTGGTGGGTACACATGCGTGCATGCACGTGGTGGACACCTGACCCCTTTGTAGCATTCCGGTTACAACGGGATCCGGAACAAACCACTGAGAGTGACATATGCATTATATAGTGTCTTCTAGGTTGAAAATAAATTAAATTAAGATCCTATAAGTTAGGGACAATTACATATTACATTCCAGGGACTAGAGATATTAGAAGAACCAGGACTGATTTTGAAAAGTATTTGTGCAACATTCTGAATTAATGCAAAGTGTATATTATTGCTGGAGGTGGGGTGGGTGATATGAATAGATCAAAGAAACAAGATAAATAAATAAAAATATTAATTTTCTATAGTACTAACAGTGTACAATGAGGAATTATAGTAATTGGAAGTATCCTATTTTCCCAAAATAAGACCTCCCAGATAATAAGCCCGATCGGACTTTTGAGCATGCACTAAAATAAGCCCTCCCCTGAAAATAAGCCCTCCCCCTAAAATATTCAAATGCATTTGCAGCTAGTCCCTGCTATTTCCTGGGAGAAAAGGAAGGCAACATGCCCCACGCGCCCCATGTACACCTGCTATCCACACGGAATGGCCTCATTGAGGCTGCTCCCACAAACCCTAGCTACTGCGCCCCTTCTCTTAGTGGCAGCCATAAAAAGAGCGCCAGGCGCAGTGACACTAGGGCTGGCAAGAGTGTGCCAGAAACAGAGGTAGAACTTCTGACCCTCTCTGGATCAGCTGAGCTGTGGGCCACGGGCCAAGGTTAAGGGGCCTCCTGCACCTCAAAAATAATAAGACCTCCCCAAAAATAAGGCCAAGCGCTTATTTCAGGGGTCAAAAGAAAATAAGACCCTTTCTAATTTTCGGTGAAACACGGTATATCAAAGGATACTTGGTGGACTGATGAAATTAAAGAGACAATGGATGCAGAAAAATGTTTATGAGAGAATATTTGCTGGAAAAAAAGTAGAATAATAAAAATATAGTGTATAATGGGGTTTCGGGAGAAATGGTTAGTTGCAAAAAAAGTAGTAAAGTAATAAGTTTGTTAGCATTAAGAAGAAGCAGAGAAAGAGATTTTGATGGGAATAAAAAGGGTTTTGGAAGTAGGTGAAGAGGGAGTAGAACAAATGGAATTAAAAAGTGCTTAAATGATTTAGAATGACTCTGAAGTGAGGGAATGCTGCAAGCTACATTTTATTGGAATATCATTCTGAGATTCATATTACTCCTACCCTGGCTCCATTTAAATGAGCTCTTAAGGCCCTGAGCTAAATTGGATGATGTTTTGGTTTTCTAAATAGTTTTACCCCTGACTTTTGTCATGACAGACTGCGTTGCCCATAAATTCAATAAATAAGTAAATAGTGTCTCTCTTCTCTGCCCCCCCCCCCCATGAAAAGCAAATCATGAATGCTATGAAAATATTGCAAGGGCATGAGGTGTTTACAGTGTAATAGGAACAGTGGTGTGGTTTGCTTATGGACTGTCTGTGTAATTTGTTTAAACGTGTGTGAAGACTTCAGTTGTGTCTGGTGATTGAAAAAATGACATTATTGATCCCCTGTACAAAGGGTAAGTTAACAAAAATGAGTACTGTAACTATCCCAGGGAGATAAGCTTATTAATCATATCTGGTTAGGTGCTTAGCAGAATTTGGGTTGAAAGCGTTTGAAGAGTGAAGAGAAAGGATAAGAATGAACAAAACCTTGGAATTGCAGGCTGACTTTGTACAAGGGAAGGCCTGTGCAGACAAGGTTTTTATTGTCATCAGGCCACAAAGGAAATTAGAAACATGAGAAAGAAAGTGTATTTATGTTGTTTAATTTAGAGCATATTATAAAACGTATCACCTTGATTATGGAATGTTTTACCCGAATGTGGAGTTGAAGTTAGCTGCTGAAACAGGCGTCTGATGGAACTAAAACATTTGTGAGAATGTTTTATGAATAGTTTAACAATGAAAAGGGAGTAAGATAATATACGGGGTGTCCACTTTGTAATACAGTATAATGTATTTATGCATAAATATTTAAAGTGTATGTGTTGCAATGTTAGACCTTTGTTGGCTGAAAACATGAATGTGCAAGCATTTTGATGTAGGGGATGCTGCGCTGTTGGCTGAGAGCCCAAATAATTTGCAGTGAATGTTAGATAAATGCCATGACCTGATGACAAATGTGGATTTAAAAATTGAAGTAGTTGCGTTTGATAGAAAAAAAAGGAATGAATGAGTGAAAGTTATACATAAATGGTAAATAAACTAAAAATAATGTTTAATAGAACTTTACAAGAGTAAGACCTCAAAAGCAAAGTGTCTGCTTTATGGACTATGGAATAATGAATTATAGGAGGCATTGATTTATGTCACTTTCAGTTTTGTTTCATGGCAAACTGAGACTCTTTGTAAAAAAAAAAGGAGGTGCACAAATACTTTTGATTATATCTATATAGTCTTGAAGAAAGTGACTGATTTCTGTGTGTGTGTATTTTAATCTAATATTTAAATTTTAAATGAACTAATATCTTTCTTCTTCTACTATCTCAAACAGTTACCCTGCTGTATGTGACTTCCTACAGCACAATAACTTATTATCTATACTTCGAGCTCATGAAGCCCAAGATGCTGGGTGAGTAGTAACACTCTGTCACTTTTTTTAAAAAAAATGGTTTATATATATTCTGTCCCGTACCATTGGGCTTTGTTTTGTCTTCCAAGCAATTGGATAAATATAGATGCGTCAGGGTAGGATTCTGCCTTTGGAGCTATTTCTTAGGGATCTACAGCAGGAGTCCCCAACCCCTGGATCACAGTTCTCTATAGGGCTGTCACCTATTCGGAACTGGGTTGCGTGAGTGGAGTCTATATTGCTGATCCACCATTTAAGCAAGTTGAACTGCACACTGCGTGCCAGCTCATGAGTCACACAAGGGCTGCGTGTGGATGTGTGGCAGCTCCCCACTTGTGTGACCCAGTTTCCTTCTTCCCCCCTGCTGTGCCGCCAAGTCGCAAAGGTTGGGGACCTCTGGTCTAAACAATATGCCGACATTGTTGTGTTGTTTTGTTTTGTTTTTTGATGAATGGGGAAGAAGAGTACTACCTAAAATTTTGTAATCCATCAAGTCCATCAGTCTTGAAATTACATTCTCAGTGTGGATATTTACGTATTTTTGAGCAAAACATACTCTAAAGGGGAGCCAGGTGGCCTTCCTTAACTTCAAGGAACCAAAATGAAATCCTGATGTTCAAACTGTTTTAAATAGCCTTATACTGTAAGGATGTAATGTTAGAGGCTTCCCTTGTTCAGTAGATAAACAGCAGTAGAAAATATAATTGCTTTTTACAGCCTGTTAATTTTCCAGACCTACCGACAAACAGTTTGGAAGAAAAATATCTTTTTTTCCTCTCTGAAAAGAAGTACACTTTGACAAACAAAAGCTAAATTAAAGAGTTGCATCATTGCATAAGATCTTCCACATTTAACCCTTTCTTTTCCTTTGATGAAACAAACCTACAGCATGTGACTTAATTTAATTAACGTGTATCCCAGCTTTTCTTACAAGACGGCATAAAACTGCCAAGATGATATGTCTATTTAACAATATATGTAGTTTAAAATACCGTTCAAAATAAATGAGTTTGAGAAAATGACATGCCAGATGGATCTTTTGAGCTACAAAGCTCTAGTAACTTAGTAGCGACACAGAGAAAGTGGGTATTCTGTTTTCCTATTGTACCTACCTGCCAACTCCCACGTAGCTGGCAAGACCAAGGAAGCAAGAATGGTACAGATTTCAGTAAGGTAGCTTAATGCCAATTTAGAATATATACAGAATGTTGAAAAGTGTAATTGGGCTTATCCAGTCTCAGTTATAATGTGTTTATGTCAGAGGCTCTTTCAAGTATTTTTTCCTTCTCTCTCAGCAGACTTAATTGCTTTCTATGAGATAAATATTCAGTTGACTCACTCCCAGTTTTACCTCAGTCTCTTACAATGCTACTGACAAAGATGAAATGCCCACATGAGTGCAGCTTTGCAAAGTAGCGTTTCACAAAGTATATTTGGACGAATGAAGTGTTTCCAAAGTATTAACGTAGTCGTGTCCTCTGGAAGTCTTAGTGTAGCTTTTTCAAAGTCTCCAATCTTCTGTAAGTTTGTATGTGTCTGTCCCAGTAGATATATTTATATGTACACAGGCAGATAACCAAGAGCATTATTCAAAACAGTCATATGTTAGCTTCTGGGAAACATGCTTGTTTCAATAATTCAGGGAAGGAGGATGTCCCTTTTTTGAGTATGTTGAAACCCTTACAAGAGATCCCTCACTGATTTCAGAAAGGGAGAACTTCATGCAGGAAGGATTTATATTGGAATAAAATAACAGTTTGAGGTAAACCTAGGATTGGACTACTTGCTTCTTTATTGTGTTTCCATTTGCAACTTTTGTTGAAAGATTCTTGAGACTTAACATACATTTCTTCTATAGAAAGGTTTGCAAGATGAAAAACTATCTTATCATATGTAAAAAGGACATACCCATAATTGCTGTGATAATACATGTTGGGGCATTGCTTTATTTTGGATAGGAATAAAAATGGCACACCTATGAATAACAAAATTAAGCTTTTGTAAAGAAAATTCTATTGAGAATAGTCTGAATTCAGTTAAAGTGAAATATTAGTTTCATACCAAAGATCAGAAAGATCTTTCTGACAACATATGATTGATTCAATATCATTAAAATGAGAGAAAATCTACTCAGATGATGTTAGAAAGGCTAAAAGGCCACAATTTTTTTTTTGTGAGGATATAGGATGCTTGTAAAATATGGAAGTCCATCATTTTTAGTTTTCTAAAAAAAATATTTTGGAGTCAGTGGATAATGCCGTTTAGAGATGTTGCATAAAGTATTGTGCCTGTAGATGCCAAATTGCAGACACCTACCTATGGATGAGAATATAGATTTGTCTTGTTCAAATATCCACCATTTATTACAAGGAACACCTAAGGCAGGGATCTCCAACCTGTGACTTGCAGTGTGAAGGGAATACAACCACGAAAACGGCCGGTGAATATCCCTGCGCGCGCACACATCCTCACTTGCACATGCAGTGCATGCTGCTTGCACAAATGAAGCTGTGTGTGCCACTAGCCAGCAGCTCATGCGTAACCATCCCCCTCTCCCCCCACAAGTCCGCATAGCTGGGAACATTGGGAAACTCTGACCCAAGGCATTTTAAATTTATCAGCCAGTCCAATGGCCCAGTTTCATCCTTACTACCTTCTATGCAAATATGAACAGACATGATGGTAGGGTGGACTTTGAAAATTCCAAAGAAACTTGCAGGCATCTCTTTAAAAGTATCTTGAATACATAGTGTCATTCCTTTATTAAACTTTATTGAAAACAGTTTGGAAAGATATGAAACCATCTCTCAGATGATTTTTTTAAATATATATTTTCACATATTTCAAAAGGAAACATGTGCAAGAAGATAAGAGTAGCCCTCCTAAATCAGCTCAAGAAATTTTGTCAACAAGATGTTTGATTGGCTTGTGAATAAGAATGGAAACATAGCGTCATCCAGTTGTTTCCCTGTAGTATATAATTTTTGGAATCATGCTGCCCCCAACCCATGAACAGCAAACAAACAAACAAACAAAAACACGTGTTAATGATCACACTTGCTGTGACATTATGAGATGCATCTATCCTTGCCTCCTTGCATCCTAACAATTGTTACAAGTACTGTACATAAGAACATGTATAGACACCAGGCTACATACCAAGAAGCTTATAGATATCTCTACATGTGTCTGCATATAAGCACAAATAAATATATATATTCACACAAACACAACATCTCTCTCACACACATATATAATTGTAAACAAGCTTGTTTTCTTCTTTTTTAAATGTCAGCTCAAACATAAAACAAAATAGGGATAATGAGCAATGTAAACTAATGTTTCTGTTGACATTAATAAGTTCATCTAACAGTCTAGAGATTGACTATAGCATGAATCTAATTATACTGAGATATATATAGCCTATGAAATAACTCACTTTTAACATTACATATTTCTCCTATGGTCAGAGAAAGGAGAGAATCTAAAATTGATTTTCATAATCCATCTTAAAAAATTCTAGGACTGCATTGGCCTAAACCTGATTGCCAAAAGCCTTCCACTTTATTTCTGGCATTTATCTTTCTTCCTGTAGATGCCTTTATCACAGCCTTCTCTATCCAGGAGTTTTTTCCTGTAGTTAAAAAATCTTGGTGCTCCGGAAAAAAAAAGAAGGAATGAGAAAGATTACACAAGCTTTGAATCCAACCCTTTGTTCCTTTTTATTTGGAGGGGTGAACAATTTTTAAGGATGCCTTCCTTCTTCCTATTAAAAGCGATGTTCAGTCTGAGATTTCAAGACTGAATGCCATCATTGCTTTTCCCCTGAAAAGCAAACTTTATATGTTCTTACTACGTTATTATTTTAGTGTGCAGCAAGGAGAAAACAGATAACTCTCTGCTCATAATCTCCTGCAGTAAGGTAACACAAATTATTTTGCAAGATTTGAAAATCTGCCTGAAAGTCATTTAAGATACCCAGGTAGATGTAGTGAGTTAAACTGTATCTAGTCATACCTTCATTCTCCTACACTACAGGTAATTTGCTTGCTTTTATTTGGGTTTTGGATATAGGTGGTTTTTTTTTTTCAGTGAACAGTTTTATCTATAAATTTTAATTGGCTTTGGTCTGGATTTTTGAGAGCCAAACTAAATAAATAATTTAGCACTTAGCTTGACTGAATTACTATTTATTTTTTAATAGCTAGTTCTAGAGGGGAAAGAAGCTTTAATTGTGTATTCTCAGAATTCTCAGAATGTTTTCAGAATTTTCTTGAAATGCCTTTAAAGTGAATAATGTAATTTTAGTTTATCCATATGTATGTATGTCAATTTGACCCTAACTATGTAGACATCCCCAGATTTACTGAAATTATAATATACTGACTTCCATCCAAATAGCATACAAAGTATGCATATGAAATATGAAAAACATTTGACCAAAATCCATGAAACAGACATGCTCACATTACAGTTAGCCTAAATAACATTACTAAATGGTTAATTAACGGTGCTAATGAAGTGTCTTGTGCAATTTGTTGTAGGTATCGTATGTACAGGAAAAGCCAGACAACAGGCTTCCCATCACTAATTACAATTTTTTCAGCACCAAACTATCTAGATGTATACAATAACAAAGGTAAGAGCATTTCTCTCACAGCATGCATTTCATTATAATTCAGTCCTTTACTTTTATTTCTCCTCCTTTTGTTGACAGTAACAGTTTGATATAATTTATAATGACAAAGTATAAATGGTGAAACATTGGGCTTTTTTTTCCTTAAAGGAATATGATTATTTCCATTATATAGGTATGGCTATAGTAATTTATTTTACTACATATATGGGTCATTAATTAATTTGGTAAAGGAAGAAAAGGGCAATTGGAATTACTCCAGATATGATTGAACCACATCTTAATCTACACAGTAGCCGAATGATCAAGACTTTCCTTACATTTCAACTTGGACTTCAGTATATTTCATTTGACCAATTCTTTATCTAGGTATATTAGTAACTGGAACTAGAGCATTGACTACCAGTATATAATCATCAACAATTTCAAATTGTACATTGGTTTTGTTTGGAGTGGTACAATCCAGAATCAAAAATGGAAGATCACTAGATTCAGGAGGCCCTACAACCCAGAGTTTCTTAGTCTTGCTAGGATTGAGTTCTTCCCCATTCAGAATCCCATTTGCACTCAGAAACATGCCTTCCACTCTATCACTTGTTCATTCAAATAATTTGGATTCAAATAATTTTACTACCTGTTCTGTGGCTGTGGCTTGGTGGGCATGGCAGGGGAACGATACTGTAAAATCTCTATTTCCTCCCCACTCCAGGGAAAAGATACTGCAAAATCCCCATTCCCTCCCGATCAGCTGGGACTCAGGATTCAGAGAATAGATGGGGGTGGGGCCAGTCATAGGTGGTATTTCCCCGTTCTCCAAACTACTCAAAATTTCCACTACCGGTTCTCTAGAATGGTCGGAGCCTGCTGAATAACCACCTCTGTTGTTCATGTTGGGGGAAAGGGAGATTTAACACTGGGTATTATATATGCCATGACCTCAATCAGCAGATTTATATTTAAACAGGAGTAGTCAGGTTGTTGAGCCCTGAGGAAACCCCCTAAAGGAGGCGCCATGGAATCCATCGTTCTCATAGGCTCTGCTTGGAGTGTCCAAGCATGGGTTAACTTCAGCTTGCTGCCCAAGGACTTAGTTCAAAGTTTGTGTATCCATGGCTCCTGCTCCCTTTAGAGGCTCAGTTTAAAAAACTCAGTCACCCTAAAAGGATGCAGTTGTGGAGTTTGAGTAGCAGGTTGGACTCTCCAAAAAGTTAGATTAGTGTATCCTTTTTATTATTTTTGTGCTAGTGGTAGGCTTAGAGGTTTTCCTGTGAGTTCAAAAGTTTTTTCCTGTCAGCTTCTTCACGCGGAGCAGGCTGCTCAGAACAAGGCTGCCTTCTGCGACCACGCGGTTGAGGCACCACTACAGGGGCTTGTTCAGCGGCTGCTTCTGAGCCTGGGACCAGGTAGGAAGCTAGGGAGCCCCAAAACACCATCATGTAACAGCTCCGGAGGTTCCTAAAGCCTTTTTCCAACAGGCAGGCAGTCCCCAGTGCCATTCCGAGCTGCGCGGTGGTCATTTTGAAGTTTAAAAAGGGCACGAAAAATTCTTGGCCGTTTGAATCGCCACTGCCTGACTCCCTCTGCTGATCGCCGCTGGGAGGGGTTATTTAAACCGAGGACTTTGTTCTGGGTTTCCAGGCAAGTTCCCCCCTCCCCAAAAGGACTGGTTTCAAGCAGCTACAGGGTTTTTGGCTTTTGAACTGGCCATACCCTGTTTGACAATAGTGCAGATCTGCGGGCGCACTGAACTTGTCAAAGGCGCCATTTTGACCTGCTGTAGCCTCACCACTGTTCCTGAACAGAGACCAGGACATTGAGACTTCATTGACTGACTGCCATTTCAGCCTCACAACTGTCCTGCGGTGTTAGCCAGATTGGTCCAGTTATTATGGCTTCCACCAGCACAGCTGAAGACATCAATCAAGCAGGTCCTTCCTTCCCTAAACGTAGCAGGCCAGGGCCTGCTGGCAAAGGGATGGCTAAGGGGTGCCTACCCAAGAGCAAAAAGCCAAAATCTAAGGGGATGGCCAAGGCCTGTCAGAAGCTAGCAGAGAGGAGCCAGAAAGCTATAGAGAAGCAGATCCAGAAGGCCCAAAGACTTCCATGGCCTCGTTCTCCTCCTGCAGAGGTTATCACTGGGCTCCCTTTGCCTCCTCTCCATAGAGCGATTTCACCATCTTTGGTGGAGGAAGGGGACTTTGATCTTTCCTCTGACCCACCCAGGGAGTTCCCAGGGTCCCCAGGTCCTTCCCTAGGGGGAGATTCGGTGCAGGAGGCTAGTTCCCTCATTGATGAGGAAGACTTTTCATCGCTTGCATCTAGGCCCAAGAGCCATTGGCCAGCCAAGGACCAGGGCCACAATATGTCCAATGAGATGTGAGAGATCATCGCTAATACGATATCTCAGGACATTGCTGAGGGAATGAGACAGCTAGGACACAGCCTACCTCTCCAGGCACGACCCAAGCCTGGAACACTGGCTTCAGGTTCTAAGGACCTGGCAGGAAGGTCATCCTCGCCAGCCTTGGCCGTAAACGAGGAATCCGAAGCAGAAGAAGGGGCTCAGGAGGCCCCAGATTTGTCTGAGGACAAAAATTCTGCCCCCGATCTGCCAGCCTTCTCTGGATTGTTCAAGTCCTCAATGTTCAAGACCATCCTCACCAAAGCCAGCCACTCAGATGGGTCTCCCAGGCCTAATAATGAATCCACAGAGCAAGGCAGTAAGGAGGCTTCTGGATCCCAGGACCCAGGTGCTGGCCTCTTCAAAGAAAACACCCCTCCCCAGGAACTGGTGCAGCACTTAGGAGAATGACCATTGGTTTACCTGAATGGTCATTCTCTAGGCGCTGCGGGAGTGTTCAATCCCGCCCTGGGGTCACCACGGATGCGTGACTTATCACCTCCATGTCTATAACCTTTATTATTTACAGCATCTTTATAGTCTAATCCCTTCATTTTTTAAACTGAGCCTCTAAAGGGAGCAGGAGGCATGGCTACACAAACTTTGAACTCAGTCCCACAGCGCCTAGAGAACGACCATTCAGGTAAGCCAACGGTCAGTTTCTGCATTCTGCAACACCAACTGGAATCTTGTCTACTTCATCAGGATTAACAGCATCAAACACATTCCCGATAAGAAAACCAGACTGAGCCTCAGGAATTGGCACATGGCCTGCCTCAAGACCTTAGTACAAAAAGATGCTAATACCTCAGCTGATGTTCATTCCTCTCATATAAATTTATTACCCCTCAACTTTTCTTTCTATCTGAAAATTTGAAAGAAAGAAGGAATTGAAATACCATCGTATCACCGTAGCACCATATTAAAAAGGGCAAGTGAACAATACTAGGGTCTGAGAAAAATGTCTGCTATGATTGTAATTTTACTTCTACTCTAGAATACTAGAAACAATCAGATCATAACAATTATCCGTTTCAGTAGTTTGGATTAGAATTAAATTTGGGAAGGATTGATACGTTTTCCTCTAAAGTTTAATTAGACAGCCTAATAATCTTTTGCATAATATTTGAAAATTGGCAGTACTTAAATATTATGGATTTAATGGAAAACAACACTGTAGGAACATATTGAATTCAATTATTTTCCTCTTCTATAGTTGCTTTCAGTTATCAACTCTGTAACGGGTTATTTTCACAGTAATTGGTTATTAAATGTGTGTCTTTTCTGCTTTTTTTTCTGGATAATGACTGCATTACCTTTTTGCCCCTGGCTTATATAAGAAAGAAAGCTTTTTTGAAACACAGTTTAAATTGTTTTAAAGTCACTAATATTGGACTGCAGTATCAGCAATATAAAATTTTAATGTGTTGTATGTTAGTAGTATTTAGAGTTGCGGATGAATTATTCATTTAATCTCTTATTTTCTAAAATTGTAGAATTTGTCATTAACCGATCTTTTTCTGAGATTTTAGAATGTCTTCCTAATTCTTCCATCAGTGAATGCTGATTACAAGTATTTGTCCATGCAGTTTTCAAAAATGATTTTTCATTCCTTCTTCTGGGTTGTTTATGATTTCCCAAAGTAGCCCAATATATATGAGTCACTTTCCAGCTTCATGGGTTGGCAGCAACAGTGGTGGTGGCAATAGGGGCGAAGGGGATGGTTTTTATGTGTGAGAATTTTACAATTGTGTCAAAGAACTGGTGATGATGCCCAATTTGGTAATGAAAATTTTGTTGCTCGGGGAACAACTGGCTACACATATCATCTACCATGTACCAGCTTACTAGGGACATGCATATAAAAAATTCCTTCCTTCCTTTCTTTCTTCCCTCCTTTTTTATTTAAGAAAAAAAGCAAAGTACCCCTCCTCTACAAAATTGCTTATGGATAAAATTGAAAGATGAAATGTATTTCATAAGTATCTTTTCCAGAAAACATAGAGTGCAGAATATTTCACTTCAAGATAATTAATGGGGAGTTAAAACAATATGATGCAATACAGCCTGTTATGTTTTTGCGCCTAACTTAAAACCAATCTAATTTATGCATAATTTAGAGTTGTGTTAAGTAACAAGAGCTGAAAAAATATTTCTTGTAAGGGACTAATAGCAAAAGGAGGAGACTTAAGACCATTATCAGGAACTTTGAAGCTATAATAATTTGTTTTAAAAGACTTCATCATATTCAACTTTAATTGCTTTTTTGTTTTGTTGTTTGGGTTTTCAATTGTACTTTTTACTTTTACGTTTTCTTTTCTTTTCATTTTTTCAGAAAAAAGGTGCCATGGAGTTTGGTGGCCTTAAAATTGAAATAAGAAATAAATAGTATACCTAATATATAGTTGGTATATACCAAATATACTAATATACTTGAGAATTCAAATAAAATTTATTACAGGCTTAACTCCAGATACAAACAAAATATCTAGTAAACAATTACCATATTTATCTCTAATAAAAGAAAAACATTACGCATAATTCTATTACGCTTATTGTTTTTTTAATACACACACACACACACACACACACACACACACAC